CCGGCTGGGAGTGCTCCCGGCGCGGCTCGGCTCGGCGCGGGGCTCCGGGGGTTCAAGCAGCAGCGAGCGGGCAGGAGCCCGGGGAGGAGGGTGGAGGGAAGCCCCCACCGCTGCTCCCCAAAGGGTCTCGTGCATGTCTTCCCCCGTTTTTGCACGGCGGGGACGACCGGCTCGACCCTGCCAGGTAGGCTTGGCTCGGACGGGGCTGCAGCTCTGCTGGGATCGAGCCCTTCCCTGGAAGTCGCCGTTTCGACCGAGCTCAGCAGGCTGGAGCGGGGGCTCCGCGGCTCTGCGACTTGGCCCACGCACGGCAGAGCTTTCCCCCTACACTGTGCAGCCTACCCCTGCCCCGCCTCAGGACAGTCCCCGTTGCTGACAAGGCATAAGACAAGGTTAGAGGCCAGTCCAAAGCGCTCTGCTCCTGCGAGCATTTCTTGTGCGGATTACCCCACTTCCCTCCGCAACGCGCCTTGGAAGAGCCCGACTGGAGGCGGGAGGCTCTGCAGGGGTGTCCGCGGGCATGGGTTAAACCATCGCTCAACAGGCCAAGTTCCTAAGTGAGAAAAAGAGAGGACCAGTTTTTCTGCTGGTGTAAAGTAGAGCAGAGGTATTGGTTCCAGGGGAATTTTGCCCTTTTCCACCATCATCAGAGACTTGGACTCAGTAATGATAACAGAGGGAGGGAGCAATGCAGAAGCATAGTTGCAAAAGAAGGGTTGTTTTCAGCTTGGCTTGGAAAGGACGTAGCTTAGGCCCTGCTTGGGGAAACTGCAGTCCCTGAATCTATTGAGAGGAGGAACTGCTGTGCAGTTAGTTGGTTGTTGGCTCAACAAGATCAAAAATGTGTTTATCAGATTAGAAACCCAGATGACTTTCACTTAGTAAAACTCACCTATGTATATGTATATATGTAGGTATGTATGTAGGTAGGTTGGTCGGTTTGTGGAACCTAAGGGGTTTGTTTTAATTTTAATTTTAATCCATGGTGACTTTTTCAGATTCAGGCCAGGTTTTTTGGGGAGAGGTTGTTAACAAAACAACATTATATAGAGTCTGGCCTTTAACATTGTGTTGTGGATGCAAACTACTGCATTGCTGAAAAGCTGACATCTCACAGCCATTTCAGCTCCTTCAAACCAGTAAGACACGGAGAAATTATCCTCTTGTCTTATCCTTTTTACTGTTGCATGACTTCATGTTATGTATAGTTATTGTTGCTTTATGAAGTCAGAACTAGGGGCAAAATAGGTATTTGGAATAATAGGTAATGATGCTTTGGAACTTGTGCCACAAGTTTGTGTATATACAAACACTGTACCATCTCAGAAATTGGCACCATGTTGTGAAAATCTTATTTAGGCTTTTAGTAGGCAGGGAGGAGAGGGATATATTCCATTAGTCTAAACATTTCTGTTTTCCATAAACTAGTGTAATGAAGTAAAATGAGTGCATGTAGCTGGATGTGTCTAGTAGATGAATATAGAATAGAACCCCTCTGGGTTCTAAATACTAAATAAAATGAGCTTGATGCTCCTTTTTCTGTTAACATAGGGAAAAGATCTTCATTGTTTATACAATCACTCATTTAACTGTTTGGAGGCAACAGCTAGAAATATTTTCAGAGAGGAAAATTATAGCTGTTCAGAATGATAAAACTATAACAAACCTATCTCCAAACGAATACAGTTGAAAAACAGCAAAAAAAAAATCTGCTTTACAGGGCAGCATGGAAAGTTTTAGGAAATTTAACTCCATACTTGAGACAGAAACAGCATAATCAACTCTTTGAATGTAACTGTGTGGAAGATTTAATTGCTAAAAATTTTAGCAGTGGTTAAAGTATTACAACTTCACTAAATGGGAAGCTTCCTGGGGAAGGCAAATTTACAGCCTATGTGAACAGAAACCAAAAGAAGTATTAACTTCAAATGATACAGCTGGAATGGGAGTAGAATGAACATTTGGAAAGAGGTGAATAGAAAAGCATAAAAATGTGGTATGGGGTGGGGGGGGGAGGTTAGAGAAGCACATCCTGAAATGAATACTTTGCAAATTAATACTAACAAAGAAATTAGCATAATTTTATCCTTAAAATAGCTTATCCATTAAGTTCACTACCATAGAATGTCCCATTTAAAATGTGCCTTCTAAAGGAGTGATCCTCAGTGCTGAATATCTCAGGAGCCACATGAGCAGTCTGTAGTAACCAAAGAGCCACAACAGCATATACCCCCTCAGTGACTAGTGACAATACACGCTGGTTCAAAAGAAAAAAAGTACCATACAATGGGTGGCAAATTTCCAACATAGTGGCCTGGCTTTATGGCTTTATGAATGTACTTTATCCAAAGTAATGAATGCAGTTGAGAGAGAAAAAAGTTGATAGCATTTTATTGCAAAGAGAAACTGAACCTTTGGCTAAGAAGAGGGGTGGCTGTGTGTTATCCAGAGTGTCTTTCCTTATTTCTTGTGCATGGGTCTATTGCTCATGGTGAAGCTCTGTCATGCAAGGTGCAAAGTTCTCTTGTGTGATCCAATCTGTGCTTAATTTGTAGGCATGAGAAGGTGCAGCTTTAGGGCAATACAAACCCTGCAGTCTCATGTAGCTTCAAACTACCAGTGGCTCTCATTGCTCTATAGCATGTTTTGGTGCAGTTGCTTGGTTAAAGTGTAGGGGCTGGACACTGAACTTTTTTCACCGGGTCTCCAGAAGCTAACCCCCACCACTGGGCATGAGCACAGGGCTGGATTAACCCAGATACCAGCTGTGCCATATTGTATGGCCTCCAGCCCAAAGGGGCCCTGAAAATTTGACACTTCTGTTGCTTGGGGGTGCACACAGATGTCATATTTGTTCCGGGACAAAGTGCAATCATGCAGATGTCCACACCCATTGTTCCAAGATAAATCCTAAACAAGTTTCCAGGATAAGAGGTACAAACATTTTTTTCCCAGGATATTGCAAAACATGTCTGTACAGTTGTACCAGGATTGCATCAGTGAATCAATGGCAGAAAAGCGGCACTGTATTCAGCTGCTCGTTAAGCCCTGAGATGAAGGGTGATGTGTATACATGCCAATCCCAGGATATTTTTGTTCTGGGACAAGCACAGTTTATCCTGGGATAAATGCAACATCTGCTCTTAGCCTGTGAAGCAGCCAGGGAGTCCTAGAAAAGAACCTCCCCTCTAGTGTCGCAAACCCAGGGAAGGAAAATAATGCTGCTGCCATGAGTATCACAGAAGAGTGGGTGGGAAAAGGCCGGCAAAGTATGATTTCACATACTTGACCCAACTGTTGCTTAATGTGCCCCTGCCTGTGGGTGCCCCACCACGGACCTGAGCCTGCGACTGGCTCTGTGCAATTGTGCAGAACATGAGAAGAGGATGTAAAAGGCCCCTGCAGAGGGAGCAGCCAGAGTATAGCTGGGCACTGCATGCCTGTGCAGGGCTAGAGATCTGCTTAATTACTTTACTTCAAAGAAGGGAGAGAGGGGAAAAAAGAAAGACAAAGCCCACCCCTTCCATCCCATCATGCTAGTGCAATACCTACAACCCAGGAGAACTACTGGAATCCTGCTGTATCACAGCCCCCACACATATCACATGCATAGAACATGGCCTTTCTATCTATTCACAATCACCAATAAGATGGTAGCTCTTTGAGGTCCTGGGACCTTTTTTGAACTATGTTTAATTACTTAGAATACATTTGCAGTGTTATAGCAGCCAGTATCTCCAGACAAAGATCAGAGTCCCCCAGGGCAAGGAACCATACATGTATATAACAAAATGAAAGTCTACACTCTAAAAATCTAGGTAAGATTACATCATACATGCCTGCATTTCTTAAAAAAGAACGGAAATTAAACACCAAAAGTACATTAAGACCATGTTAAATTTGCACAGGGACATATGCAACAGTCAGGAAAATGGTAAGGTAAGGATACCTGGACAACCTTTACTCTGCTTTAAAGTCCTGCTATGACAAAGTACCCATTGATTTTATGGTGTGTTATGATTAAATTAAACAATTTCCTGATCCTATATAATTATCAAATCACGTCATCTAATATCTCATTTTTCTACCATCTTAGGTAGATATGTGCATCCTGAATGGTATTTTTTACTCTGCGTATAGACAGAACCTGCCATAAAAATCATACGTAGGAAAATACATAGTAAACTATATTGAAAATCATAGTGCATAGGGTAGTAGCAAAAATATTCTGGTAGATGGATTTAAGTAAATTACAACATGACCTCTTGTAGTGGCTGCATCACCGTAAGTGGTGCTTTATTAACATGTATTACGTAAAAAAGTATCTTATTGCTTAATATAATTAAATATTTAGCAGTTAAAATGTTATCCCACAATAGCTGGGTGAATTATTTTGGGCTCGATGTCAAAATTGTTATATATTGTAGAGGTAAATTCTAACCCATATTCCAAAGGAAAGTTAAAAAAAAAAAAGGGTTTTGGAGGGTTTGGGGTTTTTTTAGCAATTTTGGCTATTCTTAAAAGTTAGCCTTCTCCAGGTTCTAGCAGAAGTATTTTCTGTCTTCTTGATCCAAATGAGAAGAGCAATGTATGGGCTCTGCTGGAATTATAAAAAAAAGAGTATTTCTCATAAAAACCCAGGCTTGTTGGAGTCAGAGACAAATAGAAATCGGACAACTCTTAAATGGGGACAAGTAAATAATCCAGGCAAAACCTAGTGCTATTGAAGTCAATGGCAAAGCTCTCAGTGGCCCCACTGAGGCCAGGATTGAATTCCTGAGATTTCCATCGTTGACAATGTCAGTATATGTCCTTCCCCATGGTCAAAGAGACAGAAACAAAACAGACTTAGATTGGGGCAAAAAATTGTGCCAGCTGATTCTTTTATTTTGACCTTGAGTTTCCTTGTTTTAATTCCAGCTTAACCACTAACCCCTCATCTTCTGTTGGACTGGGGCTTGAGTGTCTCTGAAGAGCTGATCACTGGTACAAATCCAACCTATGTCCATTAAGAGATAATTAGGGTCTGCAATAAATGAGAGGTGTGTAATATTCCATTGTCACCCTTTGTCTGCTGTATCCCCAAAAGGGCTCATGACTCACCAGCATCTGAACTCCTCAGAGGTTCATTCACAGCAAGGCCAAGGCAGGTTGGCAGGGTGGGAAGGAGAATGTCATTGCTGCTACATGTGACAAACATTTCTGTAGGTTTTGTCAATTTGGCATCTTTCCTGGATGCTAAATCCACTCTGAAATTTAGGTCAGAACTGTTAGCGCATATCAAATAAAATATGCAACCCATACATGCAGCTGAAACAAAGTAAACAACCAGACATGACCCCCATATCCAAACACTTTCCATCGGGTAAAGTATACAAAACGATTTGTACACATTTCATTTTTTTGTCTAATGAAGATGGGATCTTCACCTTCAGTGTTATGTTCCTGTCCTTTGGCTGCTTGATTTCCTAGAAGCCTTCTGGTGGTTGTTGTTGAGCACCGCCATCAGCAACCAGGACTCTGAGAGGCGCTGTACAAATGCAGAACAACAAAGATGGTCCCTGACCCAGAGAATTTTTAATCTGAGCATAAGACAAAACCAACAAGAGGTGGAGATAGACAGGGGAACAAAGGGAAACAATAAAACAATGATGGCTAATTTGATAGGTGGTGTTCTCAACACCCTGGCTGCCTTCGTTCATCAATTTACTTTTCTACCTGGCATTTGACAGGATCCACAATAGCATAACATTTCATTAGATCTTTTTCGTTGAATACTTTTGTCAAAATTATTAATATTCAATAGAAAGAGGGAAAACACCTTTTGCTTCTGAATCTCAGGACTAATTAGAAGTGGCTATCTCCAAACATAAAAGCCCGTGGTCCTGAATCACTTAAGCACTTGCTAAACTTTAAAGGTGTGAGTGGTCTTATTGACTTAAATAAAATATTCACATACTTATAAAGTTAAAGATGTGCTTAAGTGATGCACTGGACTGAAGCCTATATAAATGGGCCAATACATTTTACCCCATGTGTGATGCATTTCATATCAAAACTGCCAAAAGCATTTTGGGATTGTAATGATGGCTTGTGGTTGTGGCTCGGCAAAACCATAAGAAGGCAAGAATGTGTCTTTCTGTTGTGCTTATTTGCCAAGAGGAAAAAATATTGAGCATGGCGCTTACACTCATTTTTGTGACAATGCTGCGAGTAAGAAATGTTTATTAAAAAAGAAGGAAAACCCATGAATTGTAAAAACTGTGCTGCAGTCCCCAAATTGTCAAGGTAACTGATGTGGAATTATTATTCATAAACAGTCTCCCCCCCACCCCCATCCCCAATTTACTGAAACTGCAATTATTGGCTCAATCACTTAGCATTAAATATCAGACCACACAGTGTTCTTGCAGCCTGATTTTCAAACGTAGGCACGGAGCAAGATTTGTGTGCTCCTGGCTTATGCAAGCAAACGCCAGATGTGTGTGTTAAAAGCGGGTCATCACATGGTCAGGTTAGGAGCTGAACTGCCCTGGTTTGCTCACTAATACTTGATTTGCTTGTGCCTATCTGGTGCTTGTGCATGCCTCGCTTTGAAAACCCTGCCCCATACTAAATTAAGTTTCTAGTTAAAAGTAACTCATGTTAGGCTTTAAACCATATCCTGTAAAACATAATGTACTGTAGCACCCTTTTTTCAGCTATAGCTTTTAATTTAGCAGTATTTTTAAGAGCATTGTGTAGTTGAACTCTGCGCTGCTCCCAGGTACCTAAAAACTAACTGGAGTATTTAGTCTAAATGTATCTTCTTTTTACATTGGAGAGGTTTAATGCCTGAGACATGGTGATAGGATTAATTTTTGGAGGGAGATTAAAAAAAACCCAATCCCCTGTACATTCCCTTGTCTAGTCCAAGCAGTCCTCACCGCCCTTAACCCCACAACCTCTGACTGCTGTACCTCTCTGTCCACTTCAAGATATACTGTGTGAAACTAGTGTCTAGTTCTGCCAAAATGACTGGGCATTAGCCCCACTAAAGTAAAAGGGAGTTTGCACAATAGTAATCACCATTTCTATCTGAAGGTGGTTGTGCAGTGGGAGCCCTTGATTAGTAGTTTTTCAGGGCAGGGATATGGCACTTATGTACCCAACTCCTATTTAGGTATGTAATTTCCTATTTTCTTGTATAAAGTATCTAGCAACTTTTGGTCATTATGAATAACAACAGTAAAGGTGTTCTCAGTTAATAAAGGCTGGATTCTGCTCTGGGTTATACTGTTATCACTCTGGAATAATTGCACTGCTGTTATTGGTGTCATTCCAGATTTGTGTAAATAGAAGTCACAGCAGAATTTGTCCTGATTAAAGTCTGTAACAGTTACTAGTCTCCTTCTTTTCAAACTTTGTGTACTTTCACGAGGCTTTAAATTTCCCTGAAAAGAACATTACTCTAAAAAAAGTAATAACAGAATGTATTATATATTACAAATATTGAACACTTATTGAAAAGGTTTATACTATTTTACACACACACACACACACACACGTGCACACATGCAGAGTAGATATGTTATAGTATATTTAGTGTCCTACCTCTCTAGAAGAGAAACTGCCAATAGACAGGTTAACACTGGAAGGATGGAAGGAGACAACAGGATGTTGCAATGCCAAAGACATGCCATACTCAAATACTAAATGGAAAGTCTAACTTTCAATAATTACAGAGAGTGCACTACAACTCAAAAACAATCCAAAATTTTCTTACTTTCCTTATTCTATTCATGCATGCTGATCTGTAAAACAGTACATGCCTAAGGTGGATTTCGCTCTTTCCTATTGTGGTGAGTAATGGACCAAAATGATCACTTTTTAATTTCCATGTTTAACCTTGGGCCATTGATTTTTCTTTTTATCCAGTCTTGACTTAGAGAAGAGTTGCTCTACAGATGTTCCCAGTTTATTATTAATCTAGCCCATTTTGGAGAACTGTGGATGGGTCTGTTCTTAATACAGCACAAAGTAAACACTTCTAAACACTCCTTTTCTTTTCCTTTTCCTTTTAAAAATGTTGAAAAAAAAAACAATAAAAGAATAATAAAATATAATAATTACATCCAGTGTACACAAGATGCCTCCAAATGAATTGAGAAGAAACATGGAAAGGCAATACACATGCATTCTTAGTGAAAGTAACAACACCTAGGTTTTTTCATGCTATCTCAGAAAAATGTGGCTTCAAATACAAGTTTTTCACACCTGCAGTAAATAAGGTGATTGGTAAATCACAAATTTGGAACCTAATGATATCAACTAAGGTAAATGATTAGTCCCATCCCACTTGAAAATTGATCAGCTTCTTCTATTTATCATTACACTGATATATTCCCTTTTGAGCTAATTAGCCCACTCATCCCTATGCAATGTATTTAGCCCAAGTGAAGACTGACAGTTCTGTAAGGTTCTGTTCTTTTCAGTATAAAGGATTAGAGTTAAAATGTATTTGTCTTAAAATTTTGTGTTATGGCAGCCACATGATCGTAGATGAAAATCACTGTACTTCAAAGCATATCTAGTTTAGAATTAAATTGCTTATATTTTAAAGCGTCCTCTTTCTAATACTAAATTAATAACAATATTCCATAAGTAAAACTCCGCTACTCCCAAAACACATGTGAAGCAAAGGTTCTTTCCTCTTCCAAGTATCTGTGGCTTCCACATTTACCATTTCAGTTGGTGTTTTTTAGAAAACGATCTTCAATGAACTGAATTAATTCCAGTTGTAAATTTGAGACAGAAGTTGTAGTATTAATATACTAATCCCTCAAGTAATATCCATAATTACATTCCTTCCCCATGCCAGTCTCTGTTTGCCCATGACTCCATTATATCTTAAGCAAAGACCTTGGCAGTAGGTCATGACACCACATTCAAACAGAGGCACAGTTTGAAGCATCTGTAGGCTTCAAAATAAAGTACAATATGTAAGCCCATAAAACAAAAGAGAAGTTTGGACTAGTAAGCATGAAAGTTTGGGCTATACCAAACATGTGCCATACCCCATCCTCTGAAGTAAGCACTTGGCAATCTTGTGGCTGAAGCAAGGCTTATCATTTATTACAGTATTTATCATGTTTCATTACCATGTTCATTATCCATTACACCATTATGGTAAAGATTAATAATAATAGCTATTAGCATTTCTATTACAGTGAGGGTAATGGGTTACATTGTGCTATGTATTTTACAGCAAAAAAATATGACAGCTCCTGCCTCAAAGTGTTTACACTCTTAAGTCCCAGATCCTGCAAAGACTTAAGCATATATTTCATGTCATGTGAGCAATTAATTGCATTCAAAGAGACTACGTACCATGTGGGAAGTTAAGCATGTATGTTAGTCTTTTCAGCATTGGGGTCTAATAATGGAAAAAATGCAATGGGAGGATACAATCCACAACAGTGGAGTGAACATCACAGTGATGGAATAATTTATAAAAGCTAACTCTGGTGCTGGTATTTATGAAACCCACTGGGCACATCTATGCATCTTCCTAATTCTCCAGTTCGTGGCAACACTGTATTTATGGAAGATAGGGTGAGTGGCAGGCACAGCCTTCTTTTAGGAAGATGTCTCACTTACCCAAGCTACTTTGGGTCATACAACCTGTTGTACAAGCTTTACGGGTTTGTTGCTATGCTGGTGTATTCTGCATTAATGAGATTTAGAAAAACCTTATTCTATCGTATATATAACTATTGGTGGAAGAGGCGGTATCTGCTTGTAATGATGCCCTCATTTGGGTCATTTTTAAGGATTAAACTTGAGACCACTAGATCTCAAAGTGTGAGCCCCACCTGTTTGAGCTAGCCAACCAGATTTGGCTAGCTCAAAGGAGGCTGCAATGGAGGCTATAATGGACTCACAAGAGTCCATTGGAGGCTGTAATGGACTCACAGGTCTCTTACAGGCTCCATCCACTCGAGACTGGATGCCTATGAGTGTGCAGGAGTCTGCTGACTACTTGTATCTAGCCGGACACCTT